GAACTCACAGAGATCCGCCTGGCTCTGCCTCCCGAGTGCTGGGATTAAAGGCGTGCGCCACCGACGCCCGGCCCGTACTCTTATTTATTACTGGGCTCAGAGGTGTGTGCCACCGTGCTTAGCTTACACAATGCTGGGGAATGAAACCCCAAGGAATGCTGGAAATGCGAGGTAGGGACTCGGCGACTGAACCACAACGCCAGTCTCAAGGATTGCAGAGTTTAAATCTAAAATCACACTAAACTTCTGGAAGATTCCAAAGACAAAGGAGAAGGAAGGCGGCGACACGGAAAAAGCTACCCTGGGCCAGCAGCGAGGCTCTGCAGGACCCCACCCTTCAGCTCACCTGTACTGCACAGGTGTTGGCGTCTTTGGGTGCATACGAGGTAGCGTACTGCAGAAAAAAAGTCAGTGTCAATTGTCACCAAAACTACCACACACCATCCTGGGAACAAAGCCACACACCGGGCCCGAGCATCTCTCATTCCTCCCTCCCTCCCCTCCTCTTTCCAAAGACAAGGTCTCTTGTAGCCCAGGCTGACTCCTAACTCCCTGTGTAGCCAAGGATAACCCTGAGCTCTCGGTCCCTCCCCATCCACGTCCCACGTGCTGGGATTATAGGTAAGGGCCATCGTGCCCAGCTTCATTTATTAAGATGGTACCTTCTTGTGTGGCCTGAACTCTCCATTCTCTTACCTCAGCCTTCCTGAGCCAGTATTACAGGCTCTACCAAGCCTCCCCAACATCCTCATTTCTTTCTTCTTAAAATTTAATTTATTGTGTGTATGTGTACCCAACATGTGCACCACCACCCCCCACCACGTTTGGAGGTCAGAGGATCACTGTGTGTTCCGGGAATCAAAATCAGGCTGTCAACCTCCCACAGGAAGCACCTCTACCTGCTATCTGGCCAGCTCTCGTCACCCCCCCCCCAATGGCCCCCAGTCTCATTTCTTAATGGGAAAGGCATGGATGAGTCTCCATGGCAAACCGCTGGCAAGTTGCTACATGCCTTTTCCTCTTCTCTGCCCATCCCCACCCCACCCCCAGTCCCGCAGCACACCCGGGAAGACTCACAGAGCGGAATGCAGCAGACACCAGATTGGAGGGGAAAACATTCCTGCAGAAATAGACACTGTTGTTAGGTACTGTCGTGGGGGGGGGGGGGATAGGGGGACAGGAGAGGGATGGGCTGGCCTCTTGGGGGGGGGTGATGGGAGTCTCTCCTTTCTTGTTCTTGGCTGTTTAAGAAAGGGTCTCCATGTAGCTCAGGCTGGCCTCAAACTTAAAATGCAGCTGAAGGTGACCTCTTAACCTTCTGTTTCTCCTGCATCTACCTCCTGAGCACTGGGATTACAATCACACTCTTTATAACACACACACACACACACACACACACACACACACACACACACCACACCACACCACACCATATATTCAGATAGTGTCTCATCATGTAACCCTGGCTGCCCTTGAACTCAGAGATCCAACTCCCACTGTCAGTGTGCTGGGACTGAAGGTGTACACCACCATGCCAGGCCATAAACACTTATTTATTGGGGGGGGGGTATGTGTGCCCCCACTGCTCTTGTGTGAAGTCAGTTTTCTCCATCTGTTGTGTGGGTCTCAGAAATCAAACCCAGGTCATCAGGCTTGGCAGCGAAAGTACCTTAAGCCCTTGAGCTGCACTCCCAGCATCCTTTTATTTTGCCATACTCGAGACTGAACCCAAGGACCTTGCCCACTCTACCACTGAACTACATTCTCAGCCCTCTTTTTATTTTTCAAGACAGGGTCTTGCTAAGTTGCCCAGGCTGGCCTCTAGCTGCATCAGCCCAGGGCTTGCCTCAGACTTGTGATCTTTCAGCCCCCAGAGTAGCTGGAGGAATTAGTCCACCACCAGCAGCAGCACACCTTTCCAGGATGTGGGAGTCTCAACTGGCCTCTTCTGGCCCCGGGAAGCTGGTGTTTCAGAACCAAGGGATTGTGGGTTGGAAATAAAAAAAAAAAATAAACAAAAACCTGGGCTTTTGAGAGGCAGGCAATGGCAGGGTCATACCAGGCCTCAGCTCCACCCCCTACAACCATTTAATACCCTGGGTGTCTTGCATCAGCTACTTCCTGGAGGGGTGAGGACAGGGTGATCCCTAAGGGGCAGGCTGGTGGGTCGGAGAGCATGGGAGGAGTGGGGGGGGGGGATCTGGGCCTGAGGAATCATGGCAGAGAGAGGGGACGGCTGTTCCCTTCATGAATCTGCATCTGTCCTTGCAAGGCCACTTGCGGGTGTCTGCCGCAGGCCAGGTGGCAACTGCTACTGCTTCACACAGCCAACTCCTTCTTAACCGACTGCAGGTGTGTTGATGCAGGCGTGGGGACCGCTTCAAAGACAAGGCTACACAGGGTGACCCTGCCTTAAAGACAAAGACACACACACACACACACACACACACACACACACACACACACACACAGAGGAAACTGAGGCACAGGAAGGCAAGAAACTTTGCCCAAGGATTTTTGCTTGTCCTTGTTCTTGGGGGTGGGGTGGGGAGGTGAGAGTCTCATGCAGCCCAGGGCAGCCTAGAACTCCGGATCCTCCTGCCTCCCATCTCACCAGCGGTGAGTCTTAGCAGTGTGGCCACCATGTCTGACTTGTACTGCCCTCTAGAACAGAGGGCTTCAAGCTTCTACACAGCTAGGGGCATCATTAAAAGTGGCTCCAGGCCGGGCCACGGTGGTGGCGCACGCCGTTGATCCCAGGACTCAGGAGGCAAAAGCAGGCGGATCTGAGTTCAAGGCCAGCCTGGTCTACAGAGCGAGTTCCAGGACAGCCAGGGCTGCACAGAGAAACCCTGTCTGGAAAAACAAAACACACACACAAAAGTGGCTCTTTAAGAGTGCTAGTGGTGGGGGAAATGTAGATAATAAGGTCCCAGCACACACATTGCAGCTGGCAACCACCTGTAACTACAGTCCCAGGGAATCCAGTCACTTCTTTCGGCATCTGTGGGCACCAGGCACACATGTGGTGCACAGACACACACGCAGGCAAGACATTCGTGCATATAATAATAAAAATGTAGTCAGAGTGCCTAGAACCCTCCCTGTACGCCTACCTCACAGCTAGCTTAAGGCCACGTGTGCGTCTGTGTGTTTACCTGAGTGCCAGCTGGCCATCACCAAGCGTCCTGGCTGAGACGGAGGGTGGGTGGCCAGCCAGCCAAGGGAGTCCCAGCTGTTCTGAGTTTGGGCGGGAGGGTGTGTCTGCTCACAGCCCAGGGCAGGGCCCGAGACCCAGCTAATCTGCACCAGCCAGGAGGCAATACTCAGTATGGACAAGAAGAGCCCTGTCCTCCATCTCAGCTCCTGCTACGGCCCCGGCCACAGAAGATGCCCTGTTTTCTGACTCACTTTTTCCTCCACCCCTTCTCGTTTCCTTCCAGGAAGTCCCCAATCTGAAGACACTGAATCAGAGGGCCTCATGGCAAGGCCACGTGGAGCCAGAGTCTAGAGTCCTCCAAAGTGGGTTGGGTAGAGAAGGGTAAGTGGGGAGGGGGGCACTGAAGGGTAGCACGCAGGAGGAAGTGAGAGGGTAAGGCAGAGAGAAGGCACCGGAAAGCTGACTGGCTGCTTGGGGTTAGAGAGAGTGAGCGGGAAGCTGGGTCTGGGTGACGTGCGAGGACACTTGTCACTGGGGATCAGGAAGCTCCTCACATCCCCACTGCACCTCCAATGGCTCCTGACAGAGTACAAGGGCCTTAGACCTTGAGTCCAAATCTTTTCCCAGAAACTCCTTCTCTGTGCCCTTTGCCACCCAAAAATTCCCGCCCAGTAGTTTGCACAGCTGTTCTCTGTGGAGCTGCAAACTTTTTTATTTCTGAGGGGGCGCTTGGCTCTGGCTCTTTTCCTTAGATCAGACCTTGAATCTCTTTAGACACGCCACCCCTGCAAACCGAGTTAAGAGGCTTGAGGCAGGACTGCTGGGAGAGCAGCCTGAGCGATGTAGCAGACTTGTTTTCAATAAGCAAAATGATGCTGTTATCCCAGCCACTTGGGAGATGAAGTCAGGAAGATCAGGAGTTCAAGGCCATGCGTGGCTGTGGGAAACCCTGCAACCTGTCTCCAAAAACAAGACTAGGAAGGGTTACTCCTTCTTCCTCTACAAGCCCTCCACATCTAGATCCGCGCCCAAATTTGGGGAACTTCCGTAAAAATTCACCCTTCCAAAGAGTTCGAGGTCCTGTTAACATTACCTTGGGTTTTCCTAGACTCTAGGAGGCGTGTCTTACTCTGGGGGATCTGAAGTCCCATCACTAGTGGTGGCACACATGTGTGAGATCCCTGCACTTGAGAGGATGAAGCAGAAAGATTGCCATGAGTTCAGGGCCATCCTGAGCAACAGAGGCTCAAGAGTCCTTCCTCCCTCGAACGGTCATTGTCGTTTGTACCGGGCCCTTCCCACCCACCCCAATCCCCGGTGGGAACACACCTCGCGAGATCCAGGAAGGAATCCAGCACCTCCTTGGTGGGTACATTGTGGTCACAGGAGTCTCCCACCGAGCCGTTGATAGCGGTAAAGGCGGCGCCCGGCTTCAGCGCCAAAGCCAAGCCCACGCCGAGCGCGGACGCGAGCAGTGTGGTAACCAGGAAAAAGAGCAGCGCCCAGGCGCCTACACGGCCGAGGGCGCTAGGGTCCAGGCTGGCTGCACCCCCGATCAGGCTGCACACCACAAGCGGCAGGATGATCATCTTCAGCAGACGCAGCAGCAGCTCTCCCGGGAAGGCGAAGGCGGCCAAGCGCGCGGGGCCGAGCGCTTCAGCACCGCCCGCCGCCGAGACCCCCAGCCCAATCACCACGCCGGCCACCACCGCCGCCACCGTGAGCAACACCAGCAGGTTGGCGCGAAGACAGCGGCGCACCTGGTCCCAGGAACCGCAGCAGCCACCTGCTTTCCCGCCTTGGTCCTCTCTGGAGCCCAACGCCGGGCCACCGTTCGCGGTGGGATCCACCGCCACCACCCCTTTGGGGTCGGCCTTAGGGGGATCCACTGCCATGCTGAGCCGAAATTGGGGGTCCCTTGTGCGCCTAGAGACTGGGTGCAATGTTCTTGGGACGGAGAGTCGAGGCTGGAACTTTGCAGGAGTCCTTGAAGTGGTGTGTCCACAGGCTCTCGGAGGGTGGAGTGTCCTAAGCTCCCTGGACTGTGCGCCGAGACCCCTTTACTTTTCCCAGTGGTGAAGGACCCCCAAAAACAGAGTTGAGAGAGCCTGAGTTGGTTTTTCTTCTTTTGGGGTGGGGGAGGCAGTTCTTCACACTAGGACGTGGGATTCTTTGACTCCGGGAAGGCTTTAGGGCGCCCAAGTGGCCGAGGTCTTCAAGAAGTTCAACCCAGGTGGCGTAGATCCGGGATGCCTGGCTCCGGGAAACCAGGATGCGGGTTCCCAGGGCTAGGGCGCCTGGCTCTCGAACCCTGGGTACTGGAGCCCTGGGAGGAGTGGACTGAGGGTCGCCGGTCCTGAAGAGGAAATCAGATTCCCAAATGCAAATAGGCAGAGGCCCGAGGATGTGGAAAGTGGCGCCAAAGAGCGAAGAAAACACCTCCCAGGCTGCGCCGCGTGGCTCTGAGACTGCTAGACGGAAGCGATTAGGATTAAAGGCGGAGGGCGGGGCCTGAGAAGGCGGAGGCCAGCCCGCGAGCGCTGATTGGCTACGGAGCGTTCGGCGCCAGGTGGTGAGCGAGGGGTGGGACCCAGATCAAAGAGGGGCTGGTCACCCAACCAAGGCTGAATAACAATGCCTGGACAGGGGCGGGGCCGGAGAGGGGGCGGGGCCAGAGCAAAGGCGTCCAAAAGGGGCGGGGCGTTGGGAAACTGTACCAAGCCACATCCATCCACCCGGACCTCACCCCGACCCCGCTAAGGGAATCTAGCTGTGGGTTGTAGTTGATTAACCACAGCAGGACTTCTAGAAAGGGCAGGCAGACATTGAAAGGTTAGTTTTCTTTTTCGTTGTTTTTATTTTTATTTTTGAGATAGGGTTTCACGTAGCCCAGGCTGACCTTGAAGTGTTCTTGCCTCAAACTCCCAAATCCTGGGATTACAGGCCTGGACCATCATGTTCCTCTCCATTTAAAAAGTACTTCAGGAGGATAAACCAGGTGGTGGTGGATGGCGCACGCCTTTAAGTCCAGCACTCAGGAGGCAGAGGCAGGCAGATCTCTTGAGCTTGAGTCCAGCCTGGTCTACACAGTGAGTTCCTGAACAGTCGAGGCTACCCAGAGAAACCTAGTCTCGAAAAACAAACAAAAGAAGAAAGGAGGAAAGAAGGAAATAATTCCAGGAGGCTAATATTGAAAGATGGCTCAGCTGTTAAGAGCACTTGCTGCTCCTGCAGAAGACCGGAATTGCGTTCCCAGGAGCTCCACGCTCTTCTGGCTGCTGCAGCCACTGCATGAATGTGGCATGCATACATACATGTAGACAAACATACACGTAAAATAAAAATAAACCTTTTTTAAATTCTGGGGACCCTGGGCTGGAACATTTTTCATTCCCAGCACTCAGGAGACAGAGGCAGGAGGTTGACATGGGGAGGAACAGTAATTGAAGGTCAGCTTCAGCAAGTTTGATACCACCCTGACACACAAGACCTTGTGTGTGTGTGTGTGTGTGTGTGTGTGTGTGTGTGTGTGTGTGTGTGTGTAATCCATTTGTGTGCCAATAGGTCCATCCGCCCTCAAGTGGGTGTGTGCAGGTGGACATTGGGTGTCATCCTCGATTGCTCTCCCCTTTCACAGAATCTGAGCTCATCAATTTTGGCTAGGCTTGGGGCTAGGTAGACCCTGAGGTCCTCCAGCCTGTGTCTGCTAGCACTAGGGTTACGGGCATTCACTGTTGTGCCACGCTGTTACATGAATGTTGAGGATTTGAACTCCGGTCATCATGCTCGAGCAGCAAACCATCTCCCTAGCTAGGAAAAATGACCTTTTGCAGTCTGTTTCCTTAGACAGTCACAGATTGGGTGCTCCCCACAGGTGCATGGCAGATACAACACACACACACACACACACACACACACACACACACACACACGGGCGCGCGCGCACGCACGCACACACACACACACACACACACACACACACACACAAATGTAACAATATTTTTAAAAATTAGCCTCAGGCCAATTCACCACAAAGTCCATTCTTAGTCTAGACAATGTCATTCTTCCTAGGGTAAGAACAACAGACTCAGAAGAAGGAGGAAAGAGGCCTCCCGAACGCAGAATCTCAGGGGGACGCGTAGAGTGAGTCTCAGCCAGGAAAATGAGGTTGAAGGGTGGGGGTTAGGATTGGCTGGGAGTGTTCTGCCCCAGTGCCTGCCCCTTGTAAGAGAAGAAACTCACAAACTGGTTCCAGCTAGCTCTCTTCACTGTGGCCCAACCTCCTACCCGGATTCCTTCAGATTTCATCAGTGGGAGAAAGGCCTGGGGCTTCCTGGAGGGTAAAGGGGGGCAGTGAGAGGCTGGGCTGAGCCATGGGAGCCTGCCTGGGCTCTGTGGACCACCTGGGAAATGCCCCAAGGGGTGGCTCTTCTAGAAAGTCTGGTGTCTGCCTGCAGGAGGGACAGAGGACCTTCAGGGCTCAGTCTGTCCCACCAGCCGTCTGGGCAGGCGCTCACCCACAGCTCTTGTTCAGGTCTGCATTCCTAACTATGGGAGATTCCAAGTTCATGACCAGCCTGGCCACAGCCAGTGACACCAGGAGTAAACATGGGCATGAGGGGAAGACTAGCCCGAGAGACAGAGAGAGGGCAGGGAGGGCTTGTTGGAGGAGGAGGCATCCACATCAGCTTTTGAAGGATGGTGCCATCCAATTGGAATCCCAGCACTCAGGAGGCTGAGGCAGGGGGATTGCTGTAACTCTGAAGAGGCTACCTTGGGCTATCAGTAGTGGGTGCCAGGCCAATCTGGGTCACACTGTGACACCCCGTCTCAAATAAAAAAAGGATGTATATAGGTTTGATGAAAATACTACACCATCTTCTCATAATATGGTGTAATACTACACCATATTAAAGCGTTTTTAAAATTGCATTTCATTATTTACCGTGTGTGAGTCCATGCTCATAAAAGTGTTGAAGCCAGAGGACACCTTGCATTATTAGTAACTTCTCTTGTTCTACCATGTGGGGCCCGGAGATTGAACTCAAGTCTTCATTCAGGTTTGGCAGCAAGTCCCTGAGCCTTCTCCACCACCTTGCTCCTGTATTCTCTTCCCAGCAGCCATGTTTTCCCGGCTTCGTAAGATAGGCAAGCCCTCACCGCGCATGGTCCGACGTCCTGTTGTGCGTTTGCTTCAGTCCCCGTAATTCATTAGATTAAACTCAAATCCAGGACTGTACACATTTCAGCTGCCCGGAGGCTCAGGAGCTGGGAGTTAATTACATAAATTATCCATTTCCTGCTGGCCTTTCAAACCTGCCTCCTCACTGGAAGGTGATTTCAGCAAGGTCAATAGCCCCTGCTGGGAGACAGGATGCCCCTGTAGACGCGGGGTTCTTGCAGAATTTGTAGGTGACTTTGCATACGAACAGGGCTTTTGGATTCTGCCACAGACAGAAGCCAAGGAGTGAAAAATGAGGCTGAAAGGTGGAATCAAAAGGGACCCATTTTTACCAATATTGAACTTTTTAGGAATTTAACTGCACATGCTGTAAAGGGAAAAGTCAAGGAATGGGGAGAGAGAGGAAGGGCAGAAGTGACTGGGAGGGAGGTGGGACAAATCTATTAGAATCGGGACAGGTAACGTCCCTGAGCAACAGACTTCTGTTGTATTTTATTCAAATATTTTGCCGGGCGGTGGTGGCACACGCCTTTAATCCCAGCACTTGGGAGGCAGAGGCAGAGGCAGGCGGATCTCTGTGAGTTTGAGGCCAGCCTGGGCTACAGAGTGAGTTCCAGGACAGCCAGGACTGTTACACAAAGAAACCCTGTCTCAAAAAACAAAGAACAACACCAAAGCCAGCGTCTTTCTATATAGCCCTAGCTGTCCTAACTCAATGTGCAGGCTGACTTTGAACTTGCAATCCTCCTGCCTCTGCCTCCTGACTGCTGAGATTACAGATGTGTACCACCAGGCCCAGTCTGCAGCCCAGTGCCCAGGTTAAGTGAGCTGTTGTTAACAACAGCCTCCTGATTCCAACCTGTGTGCCCCGAGCCGGTGCGACCGAGTCTCGTCTCTTCCCTTGACATTCATCTATACGGGTGTGTATTTCATTCTCTAAACATTACAAACTTGGCACGACTATCACCAGGCACTTGGGAGGCTGAGGTAGGAGGACTGACAAAGTCTAGCCTGGGCTACGCAGGGAGCCTCTGTTCCCAAAAATAAATAAACAAATAAAATGGGGCTCAGAAATACAGCTCAATGACAGGCTGAACATTTAACATGCACAAGGCCCTGGGATCCATATCGTCCTCAGTACCAGCTAAAGAAACAACTAACAAAGAACCTAAATAAATAAAGAGGCTATTGTTTTGGACCGGGCTGCTGCCCTGGGCCCCAAAGACCTACAGATGAAGATGCAGTGGTAAGGCGGGTACAATGTTTGCTGCGTGCTTGCGTGAGGACCTGGGTTCTATGCCCAGTGCCCAGACAACACATCGTATAACATTACTGGTGGTGCACACTCGTAATCCCAGCACTGGGGAGGCAGAAAACCCATTCTGGCCAAAGCAATGGTTTCAGGCCAGTGAGGTGAGGTGCTCTCCCAGCCTGCCTTCAGCGACTCAATGCCCTGGGCTACGTCATCACCAGCCACCAGTCACTAAATTCCTTCAATGTGTGTACCCTTTAAAAGGTCTCCGCCATCTCAGACTGCTCTCTCGCTCTCTGCTCTGTCTCCGTCTGTCTGTCTGTCTGTCCGTCTGTCTATCTGTCTGTCTCTCTCTTTCTCCAGCTCTGAGATGGCCTTTCATGCCCCCTCCCCCGTAAACCTCTTACATGAGATGTGTTTTGTGGTGTGATCTTTGTCTTTAGCCCTGCTGCGCAGGGTACTCCGCTAAACCCTAACAGGTACCCTGTCCCCCAAACCAAGATGGATGCCTCCTGAGGAACAACACACAAGTTTGACCTCTGGCCTCCATGTTCAAACACACACACACACACACACACACACACACACACACACACACACACACACGCGCGCGCGCGCTCTCATGCAAACAGCACATACACTCTGTGACACATCTGGCGTGCCAATCCTACACAGACTACTCCCCCCACCCCGGCCTGTCTTATCACACCCCTTTCTGTCACCCCATCGTCTTCAGATTCCGCTCAGGGATCCTGAGTCTCCTGACCCCCAGCCTACAGGCCCCTCAGTAAGCTGGACTCTCCCATCCCTACATGGCTCTCCCTGGGTTGCTCCTCTCAGAGGCTGCACCTGCCCCTTCTGCAAGATGGAGGGGATGGGGTGGGGGCTCTTCCTAGCTCTTCTGTGTCCCCGACATGGGTCTGCATTGGGACAGGTACACAGACAGCAGGGACTCCTGGGATATGTGATTCACCAGTAAGGAAGGTCGGGTGTGGTGGTTCAGAACTGGAATCCCAGGACTCCGGCTGGAGGCTGAAGCAG